GGAGTTGGCCTCGAAGACCCAGCACTGGGGAGCTTCTTCCTGCCTGGAGCTGTTCAGCCTTGGTGGGTAATTAACGATCTCGCTAATTAGAGGATGGGCAAGTCCCCTTCGTCCTGCGGCTCCATCCTCCCCCCAACCTCCCCAGCCGCTCGCCCAACACCCAACCCGGGTTGACATCAAAGCTCCAGCGTTGGGGATCTTCCCAGCTGGAGCCATTCAGCTTGGGTGGGTCATTAACGATCTCATTAATTAGGGGATGGGGGACCCCGGCTGATGCTCCGGCTCCATCATCCAACCTCCCGATCTCATTAATTAGGGGATGGGGGACCCTGGCTGATGACCCAGCTCCATCGTCCAACCGCTCGCCCGACACCCAACTGGAGTTGGCCTCAAAGACCCAGCACTGGGGGGCTCCTTCCTGCCTGGAACCATTTAACCTTCATGGCTAATTAATGGTCTCGCTAATTGGGGCATGAGGACCCTCCCTGCAGCCCCAGCTCCATCCTCCCCCCGCCGCTCCCCATCAGATGAAGGTTGACGTCATCACCCCCATCCGGGTACCGCCCTCTGCTCCCGCCCCGGAGCATTTTGGGAGGAAAAAAGACAGAAATGGGTGTTTTTCCAGGCCGCCACATCACCCTCTTCCCGCCCAGGAGCTGCCACGAGGGACTCGGGGAGGGGGGGTGGATATTTCCACGTTCCCGCCTCCCGCGGCGTCTCCCTGAGCTCGTCGTATCCCACGTCATTCCTCGGAAACGGAGCCGGTCAGGGTTTTTCTTCTTTTTTTTTTTATAATTTTTTTTTTTCCTATTGGAAAGAAAATACTTCGGGGCAAAAACCACGTGATTTTGCGATGTCATTTTTTTCAGGCACTTCGTGGAATATTTGGTTTGGTTTTGGTTCGTTTTTGTTTTTTTTTTCCCCTTTTCCACACGGACTTTACAAAAAAGTTTGTTGGGTTTTTTTTTTAATTACCGATTTTCCTGAATTTTTATGTTTGTTTTTTATTCCATCCCTCGGAGTGGGATTCAGCGCGTTTCGGTACTATTGGGGAAAAAAGTGGTGGCGATGCTTTTTTTTGCTGCCCGAAATCCCAGTTTCTCCCTTTTCCCGATTTCTCCCTGTTACCGGGGGAGCGAAGGGCTTCTCGGGGGGAAAATAAATGAAGAAAATTAAAAAAAAAAAAGAATTAAGAAAACTCTAAAAGAAACAGAAAGGGTTACACGCAAAATAGAAAAGCTTCGGAAGAAATAGAGAAGAGAAAGAATTAAGGCTGAGAATGACTTTTTTTTTTTTTTTTTAATTCCAAAAGAGGATAAAAAAAGCTGAAATAGGACTTTTTGGAAAAGTAGGAAATTGCGGAAATCTCCGGATTTGGGAAGGTTTCAACCGAAAACAAAAGAATTCAAGAGGCGCAGAGATACTACAGGCAGGACTCGTGGTGTGTATCGAATAAGTTTAAAATATCGGCAAGAGGAACAGGTAGGAAAAAATGAGGAAAAACATTAAAATATGGGGGAAAAAATGACAGAAAATGAAAAAGGAGGAAAAGAAAGTAAAGGATGTATGGAATGAAATAAAAAAATCAGTGATAAAAATAGAGAAAGGGATGAAAACAACCATCCTAAGGAAGTACCGGAGGAGCCGGCGTTGGATGCGGCAGTGCTGCCGGACCGTTGGATGTGGAAAAAAATAATGAGAGTGAAAAAAAGGAAAAAAAAAAAAAAGGAAAAAAAAAAAAAAAGATGCCCAGGGTGGATGGAATCGGCTGCGGGTGTTTGCTCGAGGGCTGCGCGGCTCGGAGGGGCGATGGGTGGAGGAGAAAGGATGCGGGATGCGGCCGCGGGATGCGGGATGTGGCCACGGGATGCGGGATGCGGCCACGGGATGCGGAGCTGCACCATCCCCTTAGCCGGTTAAACAGCCCCTGAGGATTGGCCCCAGCTCCTTTCGGCGTATTTTGGGGACCTGCCTGGCTGCCCGGCCAACCCCGCTGCGAAACCGGGGGGTCACCCCTGGCCCGACCGTGATGTCACCGATGGCCCAACAGTGATGTCACCAAAAGCCCAACCATGATATCACCGATGGCACAACCATGATGTCACCAATGACCGAACCGTGATGTCACCAATAGCCCAACCGTGATGTCACCAACGGCCCAACCATGATGTCACCGATGGCCC